AAAACAGACTCCAAATAAGTTTGTTTATACTGAGTATGTTCTGTCCCTGAAGGAAAGCTAGAGTTGAATGTCTATGAGGTTGCTTGTGAATATATTAATGTGCCCTCTTTAGACTTGGGTATGTGAAAACTGTCCCTCGGATATGGGAACACAGGTCACTTAAAAGGAGTCAGTTTCCAGAAACTTATCTATATTGTGTACTTCTCCCTAAAACTGATCGATCTGTGAATACTCTTGTGGTCAAAGCTTCAAGCTATTTACCCTTTTTTACTTCTGTTTGACAGTTGCCTTATGGCATTTTTTTAAAAAGCTTAACTCTCACTCATAACCTTTTCAATATTGCACAGGCCATAAAACTAGGGGTAGAGGGGGCAGATGAAAAGTCCATTATAAATATTGATTTTAGGGGACCCTTTTTTAATGAGGGGGCAGTGCAGTTTTTCAATATTATTTTAAGGCAAAGAGAAGAAAATATAAGTTGAGGCCCATTGCTATAAGCTATTTTTGAGTTTTTTAAACCAATTTGCAGTTCATTTGTATAACTAGTTTCATCATTAATTTTTAACCAGTATCATTTCCAAACAGTCTTTCTCTTATAACCTCCCAGAGTGATGCATATTTAATTCTGTATTTGAAAGTACTTGATCTGTACGTCTGCGTGAAACAGCGTTGCACTTGGAAAAGATAGCCATAGCCGGGTGTTGATGGTATCAGAATGCTGGCAGGGTAAACTCTCCCTGGGGGCACTGGCAGTCTCGCTGAGAACTGGAAGCTACATTATGCTCTATATTTTCATGATAATTCAGGGAGCAAGGAGGGGGGGAAATCATTAGAGTTTAGGATGATTGAACTAAAATACATGAATTTGATAGACTGCAAAATTTGTGTGTGTGTGTGTGTGTGTGTGTGTGTGTGTGTGTGTGTGTGTATGTGGAGAGAGAGGGGGGGGGTGGGCAGAGAGGCAGAGAACTGACTGACTTGCGGTTATACAATGCAGGTAATGGGAAAAACTTCAGAGAACCAGGCGTGGGCTGTCAATGACAGTGCTAAGCCTTGAACAAAATTGCATTTTACCTTCTTGAGGAGCAATCAAAAGTGAAGAACAAAGACTGAAAAGTAAATTTAGACCAAGATACCTTGATCTCTGTAATTTAAGCCATTTACTTTGCTTTCTCCTTTGAATTTGAAGACTCATTGTGTCCTGTTGAGTCTCCGTGGAGGCACTTGATTGTTGTCTAGCTCCTGGTTGAGTGGCAGGAACTTCAGTTAAAGAAAAAATTGGCAAGCGTGTAAAGCAGGGACTTTTAACCAAGGTTTGTATCAGAGTCTCATGTAGGTGTTTGGAAATATTGGTGTATAGGTTCCTCATCTGGTTCTTCAGATTATATGTTTAGAAAATAACATATAGCCCTAGCCGGGCGTTGATGGTGTCAGAATTCTTGCTGGGTAAAGTCTCATTGTGGGCATTCGGTCTCACTGAGGGGAACTGGAAGCTGTGTTATCCTCTGATAAAATACAGTTTATTCAAGCTTAGCACTGTCATTGACAGCCCACACTTGGTCTCTAAAGTTTTCACCATTATGCATTGTGTAACCACAAATCTCAGTCAGTCTCTCCCTCCCTCCCTCCCTCCCTCCCTCCCTCCCTCCCTCCCTCCCTCCCTCCCTCCCCTGATGATTCAGTAGATCCAGGATAGAGCTCACTAATCAGAGTTTTAAAACTTTGTTGGCTGATTCTGGTGCGTACCTGCAGACCTTTAGTTGAGATCACTATAGTAAAAGACTACGTTTTACCTGTGGGTATGATCATTCTTCATTCAGACATCTGTCTTCCATTTATGCCCAGGTGTATTCTTTCCTAGGGCTGCTGTAATAAAATTATCACAAACTTAGTGTCTTAAAACAACAAAAATTTATTTATAATTTCGGAGGTCAGGCATGTGAAATCAAGGTATTTAGGAGAGAATCTATTCCCTGCCTGTTCCAGCTCCTGGTGGTTGCTGGCATACCTTGGCTTGTGTCTAATCTCTAATTTTTCACATTGCCTTCTCTCCATCATAAATCTCCCTCTGCTGCCTTCTTATATAGACACTACGTTAGCCCAAATACTCTTCCCGTCTCAAGGTCATTAACTTTATCAGGGTTCCATCCACGTAACCAGTGATAGGTAAGGTCAAAAGGTCAAAACTACATGGCCAGCCATACACTAGGGGAGAAAAGGTCACTCTGGGGGCAAGATCCTTGTTCTCTCAGTTTTGTCCATTGTTAGGCACCAGGGCTTTCCTTGCTGGTGACCTTTCGAACCTGGCCCACCGTCCTTGCTCTGCTCAGGCCTCTCTACCTGCCTCCATATGAGGACTCTGACGAGGTTTTTATATTACTATAAACATGAACTACCTTGTGCTCTATATGCCATGTCTCTGTACTGAAACAACTACGGTACATATTTTATACCACTACAGTTTGCTGAGATTGAGAGTACACTTTCTCCATTAGGACTTCATGCCCTAGTTCCTCTTTACTGAGTTTGTGACACTTTGGAAACACCCAAGTGCAACTGACATGTGGATCTGAACTTCACAAGGGTTCACGTGGGCTGCAGATAACCGATAAATTCACTCACACTTAAGAGATAAGATGAGGGAGACCGAAATAATGAGTCGGATTATCCAAGGAGAGAGGAGGACATTCAGGAGACTCTGTGTCACAGGAAATAAGGAAGGCAATATTTGAGAGTATTCAGTGCTGCTGAAAGTTGAAAAGATACAGAAACACTGAATGTGGCGTTGAATTGGTCATTGAAGGAAGCTGATGAGTCTATTGTGACCAATTTTAATAGAGCAACAGGGATGAAAACTAGATTGTCTGAATTGAAGAGATTAAGTAGAAATAAGAGTTGCAGGAACATCTCTCAGGAATTAGGCTTACAAAGAGAGGCTGAGGAACAAAGGTGATGACTGAATTGCAGAAGTGGGGTTGGGAGCGATGTGTCTGTCTGAAGCCTGTTAGGAAGGAGCCAGTAAAAGAGATGTTACTGCAGAAAGGGAAGATAGCAGAACGAGTGAGGGCTTAGCCTTGCAGAGATGTGACACTCCTTCCCTTACCATCAGAAAGGAAGAAAGGAGATGCCAGTGCAGATGCATTTTAGGGAAGACATCAAAAAGTTCAAGGAGGCTTGAGATGATGACTCTCCCATAGCTGTAATTTGTGCTGTTATTTAATTTTCCCTGTTAGTGCTGGATTAGTCACATACAAATAGAGAAGACTGTGTGGTTCAGGAGGGTTACACTCTTTGTTGGGTTAATTTGCATACTCCTGATTGGCTGGTGGGCATTGCATAGATACAGTCAATTAGCATGTTACTCTTTTATTAAGTAGATTTTTTTTTTTTTTTTTTTTTTACTCTGGGTAGTATTGAGTATGAAAGTTTATAAAGAACCTTTAATGTTCTCTCTTTTCAATTGTAACTTCTCAGTCCATTGTTACTTGTGGGTTCAAAATGGCTCATATAAGTAATAGAATCCATTAAAGGCATTTATGCAGTGAGAGTCTCTTGGGTCTTGAGTTAGGCATCTACTCTCCACAGTTATCTAAGTGCAGCCTCATGGACATTAGCTATGTCATAGGTGGTTGCAGTTTTTCAGGAAATATGAGTTTTTCCAAAAGAATGTCCAATTTACAGCATGGGCTTTGTGCCTTGACTTACCCCTTATTCTAATTTGGTGTTTTATCATTTTCGCACTTGAGGATACGTTTAACCATGTCCTGATAATGATGAAATGCATCCTGATTTTTAGTAGCTCTCATAATTATTCAATAGTTAAATTAACTATTGTAGCCACACTGAACAATTTCCAGAGTCTGCCAAGAGACTGGCTAAGGATACATGTCTTGGATATTCAATAATATAAAGTCTGTAACCTAAATATATTTGAGCTGAACTTGGAAGAGTTTTGAATGAAAAGAGGATTCACTATCGGTGTGCAGTCTTCTGTTAACACACATGTAGACTGCCCTTCCCTTGGACAAGACAGAGTGAAAGGCAGCAATAGGAATATGAGGCGTTTCTCCCCCCGCTCTGCTACCTGAGAAACTGTCTGAACCTCCCACTTCCTCTTTTGAAAGATGAGGGTTGAATGGCACTGATCCCCCCCTTTTTTCATCTCAAAGTAAATGAAGTGTTTGCTGCATCTAATAGGGCCTCCTCCTTCTTTGAAGGAAAATGTTCCAACTTCATTCCTATGTTGTTACTCACCCAAGTTATCCTTTTCTTCCATAGAATTTGCTGTGGAGGTTTTATATCTTAGAGATGCGTTCATGTTTTCTTTATAGCACCTTACTCAAAGTTAAGAGAATCAAGAGGAAGAGTAGACTTTCCTTGGATCCTTGTCGTAGTGGAACAGCTTGATTCCAAGGAGCATAGATGTGATGCCAGAGCGAGGAGGCCTAGGGAGGCAGGCTGAGCTGCCTTTGTCATTGTTACCCGGCCTCTAAAGCGGCCGTCTGCCTCCCCATCCACCACCTCACACACACCAGCATCACACTGCTGGGAAGCAGAATCACAGAGTTAGGCAAATAGCAGCTGCTTCAGTCACTGGTGTAGACGATTCTCTATAATTGGCTCTCGTCCCCCTTCCATGTATTAAATTGTTGTGGAAATAGTTGTATTTTATTTCATTAATGAAAAAGGTATGAGTACTCCAATACCTAAACTAGTAAAACTACAAGACCATAAGAAAAATTTAATCATATCCTCTTTTAAATAGGATCTAAATGTATAATATTTAACTGTGGGAAAATGCAGTTCAGTGGCGTGTGTTTCTGTCTCACAAAATGCCTCTTACCCTGCGCATTCCTCATCTCCGCACAGGACGGCCCGCCATGGGGATTGGGAACTGCTGGCCGAGTCCCTCAAGCGTTTTAGGGCTTTGGTCATTGTCTGAACTCAAAATATGGAATGGAATGAAAAGAAAAACCCCATCTTGTTTTCTGTCTTTACAGGCTCTCTACAACTCCATCAAGAATGAGAAGCTTGAATGGGCGGTGTAAGTATGCTGGCTGTCAGCCTTTTAGTAAATGAGCTGCTTGCTCTTTCCTTATTGTCTTCCTTTATGCCTTAGAGGGTTCCTAGAAAAGGATTAAATATGCATGTGCAGTTCTCATTTTACACTAGTGTCTTGCTCACTTTGTTTAAAACCTTAAGTATCCCCTGTCTTTTTCTTAGTACCCAGCATGCTTCTATTCTAAAAGACACTAGCATTCTAAAAGAAAATCTGATAAAATTATGTACATTCCAAAGTCCAGTACAAATGATTTTGGCATTTACTTTAATTCTCTCTGTCCTATCATCATAGATCAAGGCTTTCCACCCCTATTTCCTGTGATATTGGTTATACCAGGATACTGATTTATAAGTTTGATCGATGATAGATTAAAATAAGCTAAAAAAAAAAATGTTTAACTGTAGAACTTCCAGAAGCTTATACAATGACAATATATATTGTGGATCTCCAAGAGAGAAATACAATTTGAAATGTTTCCTGACATCTTTTGGGAGATACTGTTCTGGATTAATTACACCTCTGTGTAGACAAACAGTACCACTTTTGTTAAATTTTCATTGATCAGTGCAGCAGTCAACGATTTTTTTATTGTTGACAATGTTACAGACATCTTCCATTTCCACCCCCTTTGCCCACCTGCACCCAGCTGCTGCCCGCCCCCTTTCCTGGAAATGGTTAAGAATTTAATCTTTACAAAATTATTGAAGTCTCTTTACTAAATTTTTAGTGAAGTTGTCAAGAAGTTAGGTCAAATACATTTTTAATTAGAACTATGTGAGAATTTTGTTTTTTTATTTTCACTCATATTGAGCATGAACAAATATTTTTCTATCATGCAATCTAACATAGCAATCTGCAATGAACTTGTTTACAAAATCATAATGTGGGGGGTAATTCTTATTCTTTCATATGCACATTGGGGGAAAGTAGCTTAGCAACTGGCTGCCTCTCCCGTGAAATATGCTAGAAAGAATGGAAAATATCAATCCCCCTTGAACTGTTTCCGTTAATTGTAAGGTCATATGGTACTGTTTGAATTGTAGATTCAAAGTATAAGTTGAGACTCTAGTATATATGTGATAGCTTATATGTTTGTATGTGTATATAGATATCATGAGCTTCACTTAAAGCAATGTATCATTTTAGGGAAAACTTAGTAATATTAATAAGAGTTCATGGTCTGAGATCCAGAGTGATCTCTCTTTAATAAAGTGGGTTTCCTAGAAAAGTTTCATAAATGATGTATATAAAATTCAGCTGAAATAGTAAAGGCATATCCTGACCTATACAGAATATCTACTGAAGAAAATTAATAAAAATTAAATAATTATAAGCAAATTCACACTAGAGGAGAGAATAGTTTAAGGATTTTTTTTTATAAAGTTGTTTTTAAAAACAAACATATACGGTTGAGAATCTGTATTGTAAAGCTAGATTTTTGCCATATTGAATTTGTTACAGTAGGCCTTATTTACATTTATGTGTTGTGACAATTTGGTATAAGAAGGCTTGATCCATGTGTGGGGAATAGAACTGGATTTTTCTATCGCCTTCTTGCAAAGTCAACAGAGCATCTGTTCAGGAGCCCAGACCTCAGAACCAGATAGATTCGGGTTTGAATTCCAGTTCAGCTACAAAGATCCTGCTACAAAATTTATAGATTAATAGATACTTGCATGGGAGGTATCTTAATGTTGATTTTAGAACCTTAGAATAAATTGAATTATAAAATCGTGGAATGTTATAATTGGTGGGACCTCAGAGATTTTTAATTCACTAGTTCTCTAACTGGGTTCCATGGAGTCCTAGGAGATAGATGGCCAGGTGGTTCCATAAGAGATGTGTGAGGGAGAAGGGGGAAGAGAACAGGGACTCAGTTCTATCTCCCACAAGCATCATGCCTCTTTCAACGGACCAAAGCAGCTCCACTGTTATCTTGTTAAAATATGTATTTGGAGTTCCACTTACTGTTTCTCCTCTTACCCGACTGGGATGGCTAAGCAGTTGAGCATCTACCTATGAACCAGGAGGTCAGGGTTCGATTCCTGGTCAAGGCATATGCCCGGTTGCAGGCTGCCCTGGTTGCAGGCTCAATCCCCAGTGGAGCTTGCAGGAGGAAACCGATCATTGATTCTCTCTCGTCATTGATGTTTCTATCTCTCTCCCTCTCCCTTCCTCTCTGAAAACAATTATATATATATATATCTTCTTAAAGATATCTGTACTAAATTTTGTTTTGAAAAGTACTACTTCAGTCCAGTGTTCTCATTTCATGTATGAAGGAAATGAAGTAAAGCATTCCCGAACATTCAGAACTTAGTGTCATGGCAGAGTCAGGATTTGTTCTGCAGGTGCCCAGGGTCCCGTGGAAGCACCACGTTGCCTTGCTTCTCTTTGACCACATACTCGGAATGTCTTGACTAAGCAGTGTTCATGTCTGAACGTCTCTATGCCAGCTTCTGATACAGGGTGAATTAAGAGAATTTTACAATGAGTGGTCAGATTATTATGATCTCTGAACACATAATAATTTGGCCACTCAGTGTGGGTGGGTGTGTGTGTGTGTGTGTGTGTGTGTGTGTGTGTGTGTGTATAGCCTGGTGCATGAATTTGTGCATGGATGGGGTTCGGCCAGCCTTCCAGGGGGAGGGGACATGGGCTGTTGGCCGGCCTGCCTGCTGGTCGAACTCCTGGTCAAGGGGACAATTTGCATATTAGCCTCTTATTATATATTTGGAGATCATAATAATCTGTCCACTCAGTGTATATATTAAATTTCTGATCTCATTAAATGTTCTTAGAATTTCTAGTATTCTTCTCCCAGGCAGGTTGGTTCATTCATTCGTTCATTTCAGTCTTTAAGCAGCTACTTCTGCGCCTGGACCGTGCTGTGCCCTAGATACAGATATGAAAAGACAGCTTCTCTGCCTAATGAGAACATGGTGTGAGAGTGGGTGGTAAGGGGTGGACTGTACAAAGAGGAAAACTTAAGAACCGTAGTGAAGAGCGCAGTGAGCTAAACCACCTTGCGGAAGGTCTCAGCTTCCTCATTTCTTCCCCAGGCCCTTTGCTCAGTCATTCATTATTCAGAAAGCATCTATTTGTTGAACTACTCTGTACTAGTCAGTATGCTGGAAATACAGAGAGAACAAAAGTATGTAAGGCATTAAGGCATTTTCCCTGGCCTTAAAAATGTTATATAGTTTAATGCAAATGAGGGGAGGAAGGTAAGCAGTAGTTTCTCTCTGATTAGGATGGGATGGGGTGAAGTGAGTGGCAGTGACTATAAGAGCTTGCATTGTTAGAATTGTTAAATTTAGCTACATGGGGATCTTCAGGGAATATGACAATTAACAGGAAAGGGAAATAAGTGCAGTATTATTCACTAGGAAAATTAGCTGTCTTCTCTTATTTATTGCTGTTATTGTACATTAGTATTTAGGAATTGCAAGAAATCTTTCTCCCCGTGGTTTTTTTTTTTAATATTAAAAATTTATGTATCCAGCCTCATTTAATTAAGACACAATAGCACTAGTTTTAAATAATGTACTTCTGGGCTCCTCCTTCTTGCCCGCTTCCCTCAACTTTTGGGTCGCTAAGGCTTTGCTTATATTATGCACAGTTAGTCTCTTTATCTCTGAATAAGTATTTTTATAACTTTGCATCATGGAATAATCTTTGCTATTTTATATTACCCTATAACTCATTTTACAAGAACAGTTTATAATCTTTATCACCTTTGCTTCTAAATTAAATTGTTTTCTGTCTGCCCTCACATATCAAACTGTCCTGGCTAATTAGGTGAGATGGTGTCACTTTGGGATCTTTTGTCTTTCAGATCACGTGCTCTGAAAGCCCAGAGCTTTAAAAAGTGTGGTTTTAAATGCCAACAGTTCATTGTTTGATTTCTTTATCCTCTTGTTCAGGAAATTTTGTTATGGCTGGTTTTTTTCAGGAGACCAATGCTGCCATTTATTGGCTGACTGTAGGAAGCAGGGAGAGCTCTCCAAGTATTTCCTCCCTCTTCACCATTATTGTGTTTATGCCGCCTGGGATATAACTCATTGTTGACTCTAATTTTATTTTAAGTGATAATATATATCAATTAAAATGTAGTCTCAAGTGTTGCTTTACAGAGAATGGCCATCTCAAAATCCTAGATTAAAAAAACAAAAAACAAACAAACAAAAAAACTCAGTCCTAGTTAAAAGAAAAACAAGCAAGAGTTTTTCTTTTAACTAGGATTGAGTCATATGAGCCAACTTTAGCTGATGAGTGTAATATGCTTTACATTTAAGTTTTCTTTACCATTTCCTCTTGGTTTTAATTCTCCCTGATTTTTTCTTTGCCAACATCAGAGCCCTCCAGAAAGAAAAATTAAAATTCCCTATCTATACCTTTTATATTTGACCTTGTATCCTAAAGAAAAGAATGCTTTTTTGTCTTATTTTTAAAATATATTTATTTCTATAGAAAAAGATAAATCATGGTAATTTATTTTTTACAGTGATTAATTCTGTTAAATTGCTTTATTATCCTAATGCCCTACTGAATTTAGATATATTAAATTGTTATTCAGGATAGTGTTTCTTTTCTTCTTTTTTTAAAAATATATTTTATTGATTTTTTACAGAGAGGAAGAGAGAGAGATAGAGAGCTAGAAACGTCGATGAGAGAGAAACATCGACAGCTGCCTCCTGCACACCCCCTACCGGGGATGTGCCCGCAACCAATGTATATGCCCTTGACTGGAATTGAACCTGGGACCTTTCAGTCCACAGACCGACGCTCTACCATTGAGCCAAACCGGCTTCAGCAGGATAGTGTTTCTTAATAGCAGATTTAGATCAATGAAAACTTTCTTACTTAAGTCATTTTGGGATAAGACATTTTTGTGGCATTTTAATTCAAGAAGTCCGAAAGTAATTCTCATTTTAAACTTTCAAATAGCCACTTGTAGGTTGATAATTACTACTGAGACA